TTATTAATAGAAATTCCATGAAGCGAGGTTCTCTGGTTAAATAAATTTGAGAAGCGCTGCACTCCCATCCTTGCATTTAGAGATTCACAATCATACTAGCACTGAAACCAGAAGTTTTCTGGTAAAGAAATCAATCTCTCTCTCTGTCTTTCCTTTCTTTAATCCAGTGTTTCCTGACCTTCCTTGACCAATGATTTTTTTTGTTGAGTTCTATCTTGGGGGAAGAAAATGCTAAGCTAATACACAGCTAAGTTAATAGGATATGATTTTAGAAACGCAGCCTTGGAATCAACCCAGTCAACTGAAGCTGCCCCCAAATACCTTCAAAAGCTTAAGTCTAAAATCACTCTAGATGGAATAGTTTGAACAAAATCATGTTTATGAAATAACCTCAAAAAATGTTTCCTATCCTCCACTCAGAATTCCAGTCTAATTTTGTTCTGTTGGTTCCTTATGTCTGTTGTAGAGGTCATGTTGCACCTGCTCCCTGCTCTGTAAATGTCAGGCCCGGCCTTCGGCTAAGACCAACACAGGTCTGCCTTGAGGTCCCACATGGCACTGTGTTCACATTGTTTCCCAGAGACGGTGACTGTGGTCCTTCAAGTGAGCTGTTTGGTAGAGTGTTCAGTCCAGGTGAGAAATTGGATGGCAGGATGTTAGTCATTGAAAATGGAGGCCACTTTCCAGGTGTCATCAGCTATTAAATCATCCCACCAGGTGAATAAACAGATAGGAGAGCAAGGTTTGATGGGGCCAGCAGGGAGGGAACCTGGGGTTACTGGGAAAGTGCTAGGAGAGGCGCACACCAGAGCAATGAAAAATGAGCATCAAAGATAATCATCACTGTTCAAGGATCCTCACGGGGTATGTCTTCCCTGCCAAGGAACTTCAAGGGGCTGTATGGGGCCATAGACAAGGATGTGATTGACCTCTCAGGCCTGTGCACAGACCGTTTGCATCACATTCATGTGTGATCACTGAGGCCCAACCAGTGCTGTTGTCTTCAGTGTCCACTACTAGGGGAAGAGTCTCCGAAGTTTTTTCATTATCCTGATTGCCACAGAGAACTGTTGGCTGCAAACTCAGGACCTCTGAGAAAGACATCGGGTGTGGAGCAGGTTCCTCCCCAGCTTTTTGGCAGTTGGGGTGATTCCTAAGATGGTACACAGAACTCCAGTGCGTGGATTGGACCATACTAGGGGGAGAATGGTCCAAGATTACAGGGCCCAGCAGAACGGGCTGGCTAAGCTCACTTCTCCAATACTGACCAAGGTGATGGCCAGAAGTCCAGGGATGAGGTGCAGCATCTCTTTTCTCTGGGGACCTGTGACAACCCCTCCTGAGGCTCTGATATGGGCTTGGTTATCCGAAGCCTCCTGAAACCTGCTCAAAGACTATTCTCAGACACCTTCTCTTTGGGAGCCGCTGCTCCAGACCTGCTAAGCCAGCCTTTCTTTCCCATTACCCATGTGACCTCTAGTGGCTATAACTGGTAAAACTGGCTCTAGGGATGGGTTTTATTTTGCTAGAATAACAAGGAATAAGCAGGAAATGTTTTTAATGTTTAATAGTTGACCACTTCTCTAAAGCAACCCTTCACCCTCTTTACAATTCTCCTTCAGCATACATCCTATCATATACAATGAGGTCATAGTCAATGGGGGGTTTGGGTTCCAGACTAACTCTGATTGTTACTATCCAAGCCCCCATGGTCTAAGCCATTTCCAGGTGTCTTTACTTCCATGCTAACTTTATCACAGGGTTGTAAGGATCAAATGACATGAAGGCTATAAATGAACTGCCACATACATGTGCTCGTTATTACTGTGAAGCCACTGAGTCTGTGATTTTGTAGACCTAGAATATTTTATTTCATGTGCTTTGGTGGAAGCATTTAATCTCCCCTCAGATTCTGTATGGGGGATTCTGTCCCAATCCACAAGCATTTACTAAGAAGCTGTTATGTATATTTCATAATGTGCTTATTGATTTACTCAACAAACACAAACTCCTACTTTGCACCATATACCTCAGTTACTGCTGGTATCCGGCTGTGACCAGGACAGACAAGGCACTATTCTCATGGAGTTTCCATTCAAATGAATTAAGGGGATTCAGACAGTTGAAATGGTCCCTATCTTAGGTGACTTTATAGCCAGATAGGATACAAGTCCATATGTGAAAATGGCTTTCACAGAAGGGTAAATGAGGTACTAAGAGATAAGGATCCCACTGTGGTGTGCATGAAAGGGAGAATCTAGAGGCAGGGAATATAGACTCTGATTTCCAGAAGTTTAATGCTAGAAGAATGGCTGATGGGAAATGATCTGGACACTTGAAAGGTCAACTGGAAAATGATGATCATCAACCTGGCAATTTGGTGTCCATTTCTGGTCCTAAAAGAGTTGCAAACATTTTATGCAGAATATCCATGAAATTGTTCATTCTCACCCTCTAGTCATATTATTGTTGGAAATTCCAGTTAAATCATAGCTAGATTCATTGCATGCTTTCTTGTCCTAAATATTAACTTATAAATATTAACTTAGTCTTTATAACAACTATAGGTGGTAAGTACCTCTATCATCATACCCTTTTTACAGATGAGGAAACTGAGATATAAAAATAGTAAGTGACTTGCCCGAGGTTATCTGGCTGCCAAGTAGTGAATCCAAACCCAAGCAGGCTGGCTCCAGAGTGTGCATGCTCACACTACGCTGTATTGTTTTTCAAGCCTTCAATTAAAAAGTCAATCAGAATTTTTAGAAAGAGCTAGTGAGTATGTAGAGGTGAAATGACCACAGGTCTGGGATTGCTTTAAAATAATTCAGCAACGTGGGCCGGCCCGGTGGCGCACTGCTACAGTGCGCTGCTTGGGAAGCGTGGCAGCGCTCCCGCCGAGGGTTCGGATCCCACATACAGACCGGCCGCTCACTGGCTGAGCGAGGTGCGGGCGCAACACCGAGGGTTGCGATCCCGTTGCCGGTCCCGGTCCGGTACGGGCGCGACACTGAGGGTTGCGATCCGTTGCCGGTCACGAAAAAAGACAAGAAGGGAAAAAAAAAAATAATAATAATTCAGCAACGGGCCATAATAATCAACCACATCGCATATCGACAAAAAATAAAAATAAAAATAAAAATAAATAAATAAATAAATAAGCAAGCTAATTAATTAATTAATTAAAAATAATTCAGCAAGTCTGAGGAAGGACCAAGTATGGCAAAATCTTGATAAATGTTTACTCTGGGTGATGTTTATGATGTTTATAAGGGTCATTATAGCATTCTCTAATTTCCATAATAAAAAATAGAAACCATTTCTAGTAAATTTGGAGGTTTTGAATATTATCTTACTATTAATATCAAAAGACTAATTATTTGGGTAATTCAGATCAAAGCAATGAATTTCACTAAATAATGTAATTGTGGCTGTGAAATGGAGTACTTTCTTCTGTATATTAAAAACTGCTTTCCTCCTAGTCCCCAAATGTCATGGCCATTTTTTTTTAAAAATCAATAAGCGTTGATATTCTTGACAAATATATTTGATAGGATAGCAGCATAGTTTGAGTTAAAAGATAACAAAGACAACTTTTTCCATAGTTCTCATTTTACAGTTATGAAAGTTAATGCTTGGGGAATTTAAGTGATCAGCCCAAGATTAAAGTGGGAACTTTCAGTGATTATTTATAGTCAGCTACATAGCTAGTTAATGGAAGAACAGGAATTAAAAACCTGGGTTTCCTGAACTCTAGGCCTTTCCAGCTCCCATCAGAAGGAGCGTGTGCCCAGCAAAAGGCACACATAGAGACACTGACTGCAGCTTCCCCTGTGATTCCTGCTGTATCAGGCAGTTGCAAAGTCAGAAGTCTGGGAAGTAAGACAAAGGTGAGTCACCTCGGGACGTCAGCTTGGGACTGAAAGGGGTCAGTTGGGTCTTAACCCTCCCCTGGAGGTTTCCAAACTTTTGGACTTGAATGACCCCATTTATTTTGTGTGATTCCTCAACATTCCTTGTTTGCAGAACCCAGCTGTGTCACCCACAAAGGGCATCATTGGAAAAATCATGACTGCTGTACCTTCTCAGTGTTACATACTTCTCAGAAGTGCATTTGGGGCTCTAGCAATAAAACCTATCCCTTGATGGGCCAGAAGCCAGGGTCAGGCATTTCGCAAGAGGGAGGGATGCAGAAGGTCTTAGTGCAGGTGCCCAGAGTCACCACACCAGCATTTAATTAGTCATTGGCTTCATCTCCTCATGCTGAGGATTCCTGGAGGATATTTCAAGAGCTAAAGTCTTACCATTCCCGAGTCTGGTGTGCACCTTTTCCACCGCCTTTGTTGGTATTCAATCCTTAAGGTCTGGGGGTCTGAAACCCAGATGCTGTCGGGATCCCAGCAGCTAAGGTAAATGAATGAAGCTGGCCAACATAGGGCTTGGGTGACCTTGGAGAACAAGCATCATCCTCTCTCAGAGTTTTACCACACTGTGCTGTCCCTGCAAAAAGCCTGGGCAGATCAGCTGACAATTGTCTTCTCCTGATATAAAGGATAAAACCTGGTGGGGAAGCCAGGAAGCCTGGACACCTGAGCACAGCCTTCCCTTTGCAGAGCCTCACGTTTCCTCATCTGCAAGAAGTGGGTCTCTGAGGCTCCAAGGCACTGCCACCTCTGACAGTCTAATCTTATGATCTAGGGTAGAATATGTGTCTCACAAAAAACTGGAGCCAGTGTCTGTCTGTCTGACATATATTTGCAAAGTGCCTACCAGGCCTGTTTGATCTGACTTTTTAGAACTGGTGTCCCTGAGGTCTTTGTTGGATGTGTTTGGCATTATTCTCGAGTGCTTTGATCCCTGTAATAAAATGACCTGCACTTAACCATCATTCTCGTCCACTCTCTACATCAGAGGTTGCTTTTTTGCCGGTTTTCTCTTCTTTTTGAAAGCAGTCATGAGCAGACAAGCTTAGAAAGGGTGTTCTCTTCGTGTTGTTTCAGGGAAAATAGAGAAAGTCAAACCTCCTCCATCCCCCACCACTGAAGGCCCCAGCTCGCAGCCTGACTTAGCCCCCGAAGAGGCTGCCGGAATCCAGAGGCCCAAGAATCTGATGCAGACCCTCATGGAAGACTATGAGACACACAAATCTAAAAGGCGCGAGAGAATGGATGATAGTAGTGTAAGTTTTTCCTCCTTTCCTTTTTCACTTCTCCAAGGGTCACCGGCAGTGTGGCCTACAGTATTCCAGTTCAGGCACGGATGTCTGGCCAGCATCATGCTGGCCAAATGTGTGGTTTTACATACGTGGAGTTGGGTTTGGGTTTTTGCTGTGTTTCCCAAAAATGTTGATCGTGCCAGGAGCTGGTCCTTTCGCTGCCAGGTGTAGTTGGCACGCAGCAGCAAGGCCAGCATGAGATGTTTGGTGTGCAGAAGGATGTCGTGTGAGGGCTGCATGGGGGAAAAAGGACGGGAGCCCTCTGAAGTCGTCCCCAGGCATCAGGGAGCTGATTTCCACCATTGCTGGGCCTACTCTGTAGACATTTGATTTCTCTAGAGAACATGAAGATGCTGTTCCTTCAAAGTCTGCTCTGTGGGCAGTCCCTATAAATGTTGGTGCTCAAAAGACCAAGTGTGTTTGGGGCTGTTACCAAGCCCATGCGCATAGTTTGGCAGGAAAGAGCCATTTAAAATGACAGAAACCACACAGCTACTCTGCTGCCCCCAACCGCCAGCACTTTGCATATGACATTTACATTAACTGTGAAGGAAGTCATCTGCTCCGTGGTTTCTTTGTCCAGTAGGAGACTAGTCGTGAGCTGTTGTGGCACACAGCCCTCGGAGCCTGGGGAGCAGCCCCAGGGCATTGTGCCAACCTCTAGGAGTCTTCTGGCTTCAGTGTCTTAGCATTTATTGAGGTGATCACCCCCTCCCCCCAGTCATACTTTGGTCACAAATAGTTTGGGTTGGTTGAGGACACTACCCAGCTTACCCAGGACAGTCCTGGTTCATGCCTTTTGTTCTGGCATGATTATTAATAGTATCCCCTTTCACTCTTAAAAGTGTCCTAGTTTGGATGATAAACTATCTGGTCACCCTAAACTTGAATACTCTGGGGTTCATAGTAGGAATTCCATGCCAATTTGTTACTTTTCATATCCTGGCTGGATAATCCTAAATTAAAGAATATCTGGAGTTGAAGTCAGATACTGAAAGTTGCTTTCACAATATATGAAGAAAGGAAGGAAGGAAGGAAGGAAGCAAACATACGTATAGTAGCCTGGCTGCTTGCTTAGCATCTCCGATCTAGGCTTTCCCTCGTGTTTACACCTGAACTGCTTAGAGCACTAGCTTAGCTAGCCTATTAGGCTGGCGTATTTCTGGTCTGTTCTCTGTATTACACAGTGGAATGCTGCAATGGTGGTGCCGGCAGCTCCTCCCCTGAGGCTGGAGGACTTTTCCTGCCCACTAAGTCACTTCTTTAGCCAGCCTTTCTTTGCAGCCCCACTTAAAAGTGTAGAGTTCACCTTTAGGTATTTTCTGGAGTCTGTGTCCATCTTGAAGCTTAGTGCCGCAAGCATTTTGGTTCTTTTCTCCCAATGATTCCACACCGCATATCAGCAGCTTTGGTAGAAGTTAGCCCATGCTCTGATGTGGATGGGGAAGACCAGGTAGAACCACTTAACACGTGGTCTATACACATGCTTGCTAAGCACACACTGCGTGTCTATTGTGGATGCCTTCTGTGTTGGAGTTTAGATCTTAGGAAAAAATACTCCATACAGAAGGGAAGAGCCAGCTCCTGCTCATTTCGCTGGCAGGGGGCTGGAAGCCTCCTTCGTGCACACTCTGACACTCAGGCAGTCACCTAACAAAGGCCCACGAGGTTGGATTTCCTCCTTTCATTAATAAAGCTACATGGAGTGAGCGTTTTAATATACCGACTGCCTTTCATTTATACAGTGAAGAGGCAGCCTCCTGTTTCTGTTTTTCCCAAATAAATACACATTTCAGACAAGGAATAAACCTACTAACCAATGAAACTATTTATATCCCTGGATCTTGGATTCAAGGCCAAGGGTTTTGCACTTTTATCAATATTACAGTGGAACCAAATTTGTTGTTTGAAAATTCTTAGGAACAGGTCAAAATCTATACTATCTACTATACCCTCTTTTAAAAGACCCAAATCTAAAAAAACATACCAGATTACCTCTAAAGCAAATACACGATCACTAGCCAGACTGAATTCCAGAGTCCCTTGTTAGCCCATCTCCTAGCCCTTCTGATGCAGGAGGTCTATTCTGTTGTGTCTGTGTCAACCACTAGTGGATATGTTGAAGTTGACCTATATGGATGAACAAACCTTCAGTTTTTCCTATCTGGTCTGCGGCCCCTTCTCTATTTTTCTTTAATGGTCTCTTATACCAGAAGGATAATACATAAAGAGCAAAGGGCTTGCTTGGTGGTTGAGTTGTATAACTGGCTTCCCTATCCCTAGAAGCTAAAGGTAAATCTGTTAAAGTAATTCTGTTCTTCTGCCTCCATTCACATACACCACTCTCAGGGCAAAATTTGGCTTCTTAGATCCTTCACCTTCTAAGAGCCTCACATGACTCATGCTGGTACCTCCAGTGTTACCCAGTGTCACACAGTGTCACCCCTGGTAACTCTACCTGAGAATATTTCTTTCAGTAAGCCACTGGCAGCATATTTGCATGCCCTTTCAGAGGTCGTAAACCACACCAGAGAATCGGAGACCCCTGTGTGTGAGCAGAACCCAGCCATGCATTTGCCCATAGAAAGTAGCAAATTCTTTGTGAATTGAACGCAAAGAATTCTTATTTCCTGTGCTTCTAGGGAAAAGGCAGACTTAAAAACAAAAAGAAACTGATAATATAGTGTGATACGTAAGACACAGTATTAATGAGAATGAAGGACAGAAGAAGGAAATCTAGAGAACCCAAATGAAGCTATGCCTGCAGTTTTGCTGAGTGACTTCTGCCAATGGGAACTGAGAAAAACTGGTCCTTGCCATCGCAAGTCCAGTGTCCTCCCAACCCCCATCAAAGCAGGATGGTCTCTGGACTCCTGCCCACCAGCTCAGCTCCCTGCTCTCTTCAATTTTCCCATTTCATAAAAAAATCATATGCAAGACAGGCAGGGAGGCTCCTGGCTCATGGAATCCCTGCCTGGGAGTGGTGTGGGGGAAGCCGTGCAGCATTTAGTGGTCTTTATCACGCTCCTGAGCTGTCACTCCCTCCTGCTGGAAACAAGGTGCTTATCTGAGAGCTCAGAGAGTGACAGAAGGTGGAAAATTAAGTCATGAACTCTCTTGGAATACCTATCCAGGAGTCACTGAATCAGTGATATTAAGTCATCTGCAGATGTTCTGGTCATTTTGTAGCTGCTAAAAAAAAGGTCAATGACAAGGAGTGGAAAAAAACCCTTTCACAAAAAGTTATCCCCAAGTGGCCCTACTTGTTACTAGCTCAGAACCTGAGCAAAGTGCTCCCTTCAATAGCCACAGTCTGCACGCACCTGGGCTGGCTTGGCTTCATTGTTCTATGTGGCATGGTCACCATGGAGTATGTCCATGCCTGAGGCTTCAGCCAGACCCGCTTATTAGCAGACCCATTGGCTAACTTTTGAGGAAGGAGGGTTGCTATCCCCACCCACAACCCCTTACACAGGGCTGTTTACCAGCCTATACAGAGCCTTTGTGTGAATTAGAAAAAGGTACCCTCTTGGCTCTGTAGGATGCAGCTCCGCACCAGCCACAGTTTGGTGGTGGAGCAGGGGACTGGGCTTCAGCACCATTCGTCCCTTTAGCCTGGTGCTTTTGTGCAGTGTATGCACCACACACCAAGATGCAGCAATCCCACTCTTACTGTGGCCCTCTCTTACCTGGAAATGTTACCTTATGTGAAAACGTCCCCTTATTCAGGTCCGATGGTATCTCTGGTCAGATAAGCACCTCATAATGGACTAATGAATCATGGTTTCCTACAGAGCTTCTTGGTGCCTTGCAAAGGGACTACCTCGAAGGTGGCGTTGGAGAAGATCTTGCCCACTCTTGGATCTGGAAGATGTTTTGACTTGAGGGCACAATTATGAGCTATTTGGATTTTTTTCCTTTAGGCACCAAGAAGCCCTTTAGGAAACTGTGATTCATCAGTCCATTATGAGTTGCCTGACTGTATTTAGGCAAACAGTGTTTTTCTGGCCAGTTGTTCCCCCAGCCTGACCTAATTCCCAGAAGGTGAAGAATGTGAGTCATTGAGTTCATGGTGATCCTGAACATGGTGATGGATTTGCTTTCCCTTTCTGATTACGGCGAGGTCTTGCAACTACCCCAGCGTGACTTGGAACAGGAGAAGGCCTCGTCAGTTCTCCTGGGCTACATCAAAGCAGGGGGCTGGCAGCTACTGCTTCTCTAAGAATTCCTGGTGCACGTTTCCCTCCAGACCAGGACAGGCATTGAGAGCTGTGGGTGAAGGAAGCCCATCTTCCTCCAGGGTGCCCACCACCCTCAGATCGTACTGCTCATGTTCTCTTGAGTTCAAACTCACACCCTAGGGAAGGTGCAGAGGAGAGAAATCTCCAAGCTCATCACTTCCCAGCCACTGGCCTGATCATTACACAGCTATGGTTTTTAAACGCTACACAGAAGAACCCTAATCAGTCTATGGCTGCCAGTGCCCCAAACCAATAAATGCCTCAAGTGTCCTAAGCAGTGTACATCACCACTATTCTGGGGGGGCGCTGTCCCAAGTTGGTCCTGTTATGTCATTTCCCATAGCCAGGCTATTTTTTGTTCTGTGCTTCTCTCACAGATGACCTTTAGTCTTCTAGAAGAACTAAAGAATCATTTTAGTTCTAAATGATCATACTAATCCTAAATAATGATCATGAAAGAATCATCCCACTCTCAGGGACTTACCCAGACTCAGAAGGTTGTGATGCGGAAGGCTGTGTGGTCTCCCTAGGCAGTACCATCCTTAGGCCAGTTTTAGAGACTCTCCCTCCTTAAACCTGGCATTCAGACCAACTTCTGTCTTTTAATGGGACAACAGGCTACAAGATTGCTTTGGGTTTCAGAGAAGCCTATAGGAGGAGGAAAAGCTGTTTGGCTACCGACTCTAGCAAGTCTAAAATGGCCAGCAGGGACCTTGCTGGTGG